TTATAGTTTTATTTTATTCAGCATAATTTTTTATACTGTTTAACATTAAAAAGTCAGTGTATTATTAATATTTTCTACTAGTACCTATGTGTTTTTTTTTTTTTTTTTTAATAAATTTGAGCTTCTTTAAAAATTATATTAATTTAAAAATCGATGATCATTTATCTCTATTATTTTTAATAAGTATTCAAATATGAATTAATTTTTGTTAATAGAAGTTAAACAATTGAAGCAGTTTATTATTTTAAATATGTATGTAGATTTATTTTTCATAGCATGAAAAATGTTTAACATAAGTGAAGATGTAGGTAATTCTATATTTATTTCTTTTTTTGGTTATCGGGTACTTTCTATTTTTGAAATTCTTAAATAAGTAAGTATTAGGTATAACTTGTTGTGAAAACAATAATTTTAACCAATTACCAACTAAAGGTAAATTATTTAAATTAATAAGATTCTTTGTATTGCATACCCCTTACAAGAATTTCATAAAGAAAAATTATGGAAAGTAATAAAAGGGCCAAACATTATTGGCCCCCCTAGTAGAAATTTTCTGGCTACGTGCCTGTTTATCCGGCACTGATTATATATTTATATATATTAACCATATTATTAATAGCACTCACTATATAAAAACCAACTACGCGATTATACCGATCGAACCCGCGTTGAATGCGAGTTTGTTTTGTTATCTATGTGCGTTCTGTGTTGCGTATTGTGTACAATATATAGTAGGTATATTATATTATAGATGGTTGTTTAATTTTTAGCAAACGGACGATAATGGCCCGGGTCTACAGGGCCTGTGCGGCTATGCCAAAATACGCCTCTGACAACGCCCCCCCCCCTCGGGGCTCTGGCCCCTACTGCCCCCCACCCTCTCACCGGCCCTAATTACATGCAAGTGGTGGTGACGGCGGCGCGAACACCTTTCACACAAGTATGATTGGAAATTGAATATCAGTATTACTTAGGTACATTGTTAAAATGTATTATAAGATCACTAATGTTGCCGCCGCAACATAATTATATATTATAAACGTATCAATATCGGGCAGCGAGGTTAGCTGGTCACACACACACACACTATCACCTGTTGCCATAATATTTATTTTTGTATGTACCTATTTAAATGTGCCTTGTGAATTATATAACATAGATAATTAAGACTCGTTATCGTATGGCGTATATGAATATTTATTTATCACGGCCGCCGTGACACTGTCTTCCTTTGTCCGTCTCGTATAAAACGTCGTCTCGTTAGCACGGTGTGTGCAAATAAAAAATATATTTATTATTTTCAATAATTGTTAAATAAGTTAGTGCAAATATTGATTTTTATTATAATTATTAGCGCCAGAAGGGCCTAATTAAATATTGTAACAAATTAAATTATTATATTAAACTAGCTGATCCCGTGCACTTCGTTTCCCGTTAAATGTACCAACTCTATATGACTCAAACATTGTTCAATGCGTTATTTAATATTCGGTGTATGATGTTCTAGATTTATCTAAACTTTTCTGTTGCCCGGAATAAAAATTCTGAATTGCAGCAGTACATTATCAGATAGTTAATTTACCTGCGGTAGATCGCAGACCCCGTGCTGTTTGTACGTAAGTGTATGATTTAACTCAAAAAGTACCAAAGTTATACCAAGTTTGACGTTTTTACTTAATTCCACCTACCTATAAATCCTAACCTAACCTAACCGTACTAAAATCTGATGAATAAAAAAACCAAATTTAACCCTTTTTAAATTAGCGTATCTTCTTCCCATAGGTCTAATCTACACACCGCCATTCATTTATATATAAGATATATTTACAAAAAATAATAATACAAATCAACAAACATGCCCGATTAACCAATAGCAACCAATATAATATAATCCACAATAGAGTAAATAAAGACAACGGTATCGATTTCAAATCCCAGACATCAATAAATAGTTTTTGCAGTTTTTCTAATTATTCGGTTGACTTTTTAAAAATTTTCTTTCGTAAAAACCTTCACCTGGCAATTAAGAACATCTTAAAAAAAATTTGAGACAAATTGGACCAGCCGTTCTCAACTGATGCAATTTCGAATTTTTTGTCTCCATTTTTATATATATAGATTCTCGGTGTGACACACTGACACTATATAGTATTATAATTAGTTATTAGTAGGCTAGTAGCGGCTATTACTGTCGTAATAAGCGCAATCGTCAGTTTTATATTATACTCATTAGCAGTTACCTATTTTTTGTAACACTTTAAAGAATTGTACTCTGTTATCGTATGTGTTTTTTTTTGTATTATAATACCTATAGCTCAGGAGCAACTGGCCAGTCTGCGCTCCACAAACTGCTGTGAGTTATTTTATTATATTCTGTCGTGCCAGAAGGGCGCATAGTACAATTATATTATTATTCTGCTAAGTCATAAGGACCGCATATTATTATTATTTTTATATTTAATAACTACAGTTTTACAAAACATTATATTTTTATTTTGTTTGGCCATAAGGGCCGCACATTATTTTGCACGCATTATTTTATATATTATTACTATTCTGTTGAGCCAGAAGGGCTAATCTTTTTATATTTTCACGTAGCTCTAATAGCTACAGTGAATTTTACCTTTATTTTTATTATCTATTATATTGCTGTCAATTTTATAACATATAACATTTAGTATCATTTATACTTATACTGATTTACAGCTTTAATAGCTGCCATCATATTAAATTGTTATTTGTTTGGCCATAAGGGCCGGGCATTTATATATACCTTTTTTCTGTCGGGCCAGAAGGGCCACAATATATTATATACTATTATAGCCATAAGGGCTTTGTTTTATTATTTATATTATATTTTTATACCTACTGTGTTGCTGTGATTTTTTATATATTTGTATCATTATTATTTAGATTTTGTATTATACAGCAACTAGTTATTTACCAGCAATTGTGTTACCATTTTTTAATTTCAGTTTAATTACTTTAATTACACACACATATATACACACATAACACACAAATAATACACATAAATACACTACATGCATTACGTAGCTCGACAGTATTTGCCCAGCAATCCCGACCACTGCTGTTCGAGCGATTACACCACTACACACCCAGCTAGTCCTCGCATATTTAAGACTTGTCCTAGGTGTTAGTGGTGAGCAATTAGGTGTCCGGGGTGTGCATGTTATTATTATACGCTACCGGCTCGCACAACTAATATCAAACAATAAATTAAACTAACTAATGTTAGGTGACTTTTTTTAAACATTATTGCATTATGTTAAATTAATTTAAATCTTACTATCAGTTATTGTTTAATTTATGTAATTCATTAAATAGAATTGTTTATTGTATTCCAAAATCTATCAAACTTTTTTAGTCTTATCTAAATAATTTATATAAAAAAAAAAATTAGTGGTTAAATTTATAATATTATAATACATAATATAGTTTCATAATTTATGCCACTTAAAAGTTATTGAAAAGAAATTATAAAAAAAACCTGAAGGGAAAAATAAATATTAAATTATAAAACTGGAGCTTATACAAATAAAATTGATTAGATACTAACTTTTAATTAAATTTTATTTTATTTTATTATTAACAAACGGGTAAGGACCCTTTAGAACATTATGACAATAGTACAGTAGTAAATAATAAATACAATGCAAAACTTACAAATAGATAATAGTAGTAGATAGTGGATACTTAACACATTCACTGCGTCAAATAATTAGTTGGGACACGTTAGATGCGTCATAAAATATATCAATGTTCGCTAGGAGCGTGCCACCAATTCGGACATTTTAATTAGTGCAAGAAAAATCAACAAAATAAGTTATTTATAAATGGATTGGACTGAAATAACGAAAAAATTTCTATGCAGAGGCGTGTGTAAAAAAAAAACATTACTCTAGTGCGTCTCTATTTTATAGCACATTTAATTCAACGGACTTGATGTCGGCTATATCCGACAGGGGCACCGTTCACATACCTACAAGTTGGCTATATCCGACAGACGCACCGTGAAAAAACCGATCTGTCGGATATAGCCGACAAACGCACCGAATGTGTTAATATTTATTTTTTTTTTTTTTTAAATAGCAGCGTACATGTATCAATACTTGGTGATCAGACATACTTTTTTTTATTGCAGTCCAAAAAATATTTTAGTACCATAACCACTACATCATGTTTTTCCACCAAAATATGAATAAACCACTACAACATAAACAACATGCTACATAAACATTTTCATCGAAAAAAATATAAACATGGTGTGACTTTAAAACAATAAAAATTAACAGTTACAAGACAAAATAACAATAAAATAATACAGATAATTAAATAATACATAGAAGAAACTGAAATTTGATAATATAAAAATTAATTAACAGCAGAACTTAATGCTATATAAACATTTTGTTTAAAAACTTTGCGTGACATAAAAAAGAAGTCAATTTTATTAGCAACACAATTAGTGAAAGTAAATACTCTGGGAAAGAATGAAGCGGAACTATAGTTGGTGGTATAAGATGGGAGGACGAATAGATTATGTGACCTCGTACCGTGATTTCTAAAGTTAAAACCAACCATAGAAAGAAGCTCGGAGGAATTAATGTTACCATTCAGTAAATTGACAAGAACACCAAGACTTCAACACTTCTTCTAATTTCGCATAAAGACACCCCCAGATGGGTTAACTGTAAGTGATATGAGTCTCGGCCAATGGTTAAACTTAATTTACTACAGTTCAATTTTCGACATTTATACTGTACATTTTCTAACTGATTTATATAGAGAACATAATTAGCTGACCAAACTATAGAGCCAAATTCTAAGTGAGACCTAACAAGTGAGAAGTATACTATTTTCATTGAGACTATATTTGAGTATTCCTACTGTTTGAAGAATTATCATTATAGATTGCAGCTAACATAAAGTACATAAACGTTGTTTAACACTGTCTTATAACGTTGAGATTGATAAAATTATAGAAGAACAGCTTTCTTCGTGGCTGCGCACATGGTCCAATTTCCCTTTGAACATAAGTATCCATTATTTTGGTGACCGGTGCTTCGCAAAAACATCAAGAGGCCCTGTTCTTTATTAAAGAGCTGGAAATGTTGTGCAATTAGACAATTGGCTAAAACTTGTTGTGGTCTTGGTATGCCATCTCTTACCTAATAAAATTAATAATTTACATTATATTTTAAATTAATTAAAACAAGTTTAATAACCATTTACCCTGAGATTATTCCGTACTTGATTAAACTCAACTGAAAACTGGTTTTTAATGAAAGTTAATTTCCCTGAAATAAAGTATGACATGATTACTAATGGATAAATTATAGAAAATTATTATGGATTTTTATATAAATTACACCAATATTACATATAGTTTATATTTAAAAAATATTATCCTTATAGTATAAAATAAAAATTTTAATAACACAGAAACAATGTATTAACATTTTGAATTCAGTACATAAAAAAATATCAAGAAAATTACCAAAATTTGCACTAAAAAGGTGGTTCTCATATGAAAATATAAGTTTGTATCGCCACAGGACACTCTTTAAATAATACAAAAATATCAGGTGTTTGATGAAATATATTTTTGAAATCACAATTTGAATAAATGTATTATTAATTCTAATAACAACATTTTGAATTATTGTGAATACATTTAGAAGTGAAGCTGCTTATCATTTAGTAACAATTTATTGACAAGCGGATTCAGGAATATCATCAAGTAAATATTGGTAAAATTTTGTTTGGTGATTGCTCATTAATTGTCGATTACTATCAATACTACATTAAACTATACATATATGCAGACTAACCTGAAATGTTGACAATTTTTAACTCTTGATTCAAAATTAAAAATATAAGAATAATAAACTAACTGTTTTTTAGGTTATATTTAAACAATTGTAATTGTTAACGCTTAAGGTGACCAAAATAATAATGAACAGCCTTGTCGTTTTATATAATATGTGGACTGTATATTACAATAAACTGTTAATTGCCCGTTTGGCACAATAATGATAATAATAATAATAATAATAATAATAATAGTACAAAATATAATTTCAGTTGCCTCTTTGGCTATAACAACTAATAATAATAATACATGATTTAACAAAGCCTGAATGGCTGTAATATACAATGAAATATATAATGTTTTAGGACCCGTCGGTCATACATACACATATTTGGTCGACCAATACTCACAAAACACAACAACGAACAATGACAACATGATGCCGCCGAGAAGAGACCGCTGAGTCCATGACACCACCGCCTCAACAAACACAACCACACGTTGATAATGTAACTACCCTAAAATGGGGACAAAAATTATTAGACAAAATTGTATCAGTGTGTATAGTTACCAGACGAATGAATGCCTGTATTGCGATACACAGATGTACTGTAACACACGTGGTTTGGGACGACTGCAAAAAGCTCATGCTCCAAAAATGATGAGACAACCAAAAAGCTTATGACGATGAGAGCATGACGGGAACAAAAAACCAACTTGAAGTTTTGAACATAACCAAAAAATATAACGAACATTGATAATTATTCCACAGCTGGCTGGTCACACACGAATGCCTGATAAGCATCCGCCGACGTAGGCTGCAGCTGTGTAACGCACCGACCCGCATACATGAAAATGACAACACAAACACACAACACAAATTTGTTTGCAGCGCAAACAGTAATAATTGTTATATTATCATTGCTTAATATTTTTTTATTATTTGGTATCCAAACAAAAATAATACGCTCTATCATATAGTGACATAAGTTTTGAATAAAATCAATGTATTTATTTATTATTTATCAAAAAAAAAAATGTTATTTTTTGAACTGTTTAGTTAATTTTAGTTTAAAAAAAATGTTATTTATAATGTTAATAAAATGTTCTTTTAATTCTTGAGTACAAACAAAAACTTCATTTATAAATACATGTTCTGCAGTGGTTAATTTAATTGAAAGCATTGAACTAATTATGAACACTAATCACTATATTGATAATTATTAATATTCAAACATGGGTAAAATGTACTTTTTGATATTTAAAAAATGATACTTGCCTTAAAGAAATGTTGAATATTTATAATTAGGTATATTAAATTAAAAAAGAATTATTTTCAAAAGCATTATATACCTACCTACTTTTGGGAAATAGGTATATTCTAACAGCTAACAGTATTTCCAGTGGCGAAGCCAGGGGGGTTTTTGGGTGTTCTATTGACATTTTTGCCCCCAATAAATGTATTATTTATAAACGAAAACTGTACAAACTTAGTTACCAGACGAATGAATGCCTGTATTGCGATACACAGATGTACTGTAACACACGTGGTTTGGGACGACTGCAAAAAGCTCATGCTCCAAAAATGATGAGACAACCAAAAAGCTTATGACGATGAGAGCATGACGGGAACAAAAAACCAACTTGAAGTTTTGAACATAACCAAAAAATATAACGAACATTGATAATTATTCCACAGCTGGCCGGTCACACACGAATGCCTGATAAGCATCCGCCGACGAAGGCTGCAGCTGTGTAACGCACCGACCCGCATACATGAAAATGACAACACAAACACACAACACAAATTTGTTTGCAGCGCAAACATATTCCCCCCCTTTGAAAGGATGTGGTCCTTTCAAGGCTCATTAGATATGATTATTGATGATACTGATTTTCCTATGACATGATGATAATACTATACGATTCGAACCTTAGATGGCTAGACACACTGTCTTTAACAATAAATACAAATGATAATAATAAATGACTTGAGCCTTAGGCGGCTTGACAAACTGTCTTAAACAATAAATACAAATGATAATAATAAATGACTTGAGCCTTAGGCGGCTTGACAAACTGTCTTAAACAATAAATACAAATGATAATAATAAATGACTTGAGATGATACTATGATTGTAGTTGTAGTTTATGTTCTTCTTCCTCTTCATCATTGACTGTTGGTAGTAGGGCAAGCTTGGCTACAGGACGTTTATATTCATGTCCGTTTCCCATTCGGATGGTGACAGCACGCACCACATCATCATTTCCAGGATGAACAGTCAAGACACAACCTAACTTCCAATGTAGTGGCGGTAAGTTTTCCTCCTTTACAATAACCAGATCGCCCACAACTAGGTTTCTTTGGGGTTTTAGCCATTTATTTCTTTTTTGGATTTGTGGCAAGTATTTTTGGCTCCATCTTTTCCAAAACCGTTGCATTTGAGCACGAACAAGGGCAAATCGAATCAATTTATTCTGAGGTATTGAGGTTGAGTCTGGCTCAGGCGGCAGTAGTATGGGACCTTCTACAAGAAAGTGCCCAGGTGTCAGGGCCTCGTAGTCTGAGGGATCATTTGCTAACGGAATTAATGGTCTTGAGTTTAAAACGGCTTCAATGCGGCAGAGCAACGTGGTGGTCTCTTCAAATGTCAGTAGCACATTGTTTGTCAGCTTAATTAAGTGGGTTTTTGCTGATTTGACTGCTGCCTCCCAGATGCCACAAAATGTGGCGCAGACGGAGGGTTGAAATGCCAAGTCACTCCCCGTTGAGTCATATTTTCGGTTACGGTTTGCTTTCCAGATTCTGCCTTGAAATACGAGGATAACTCCCGATTTGCGCCAAGGAAATTGGTTCCGTTGTCACTGTGTAAATGAAGACATGGACCTCGTCGCGCAATGAACCGGGTTAGAGCTGCTATAAAGGCATCTGATGATAACCCTGAGACTAGGTCTAAATGTACTGCACGAGTGCTGAAACATACAAACATGGCAATGTAACCTTTGATGGACTTGACTCGCCTTATTCCACTTTTTATAAATATTGGCCCGCAGAAGTCAACGCCTGTACGAGAGAATGCTCTTTGAACAGATATCCTGCTTCGCGGAATAGGTGCCATCTTAGGGTGTAACATGCTAGGTCTCGCACGGAAACAAATATTGCAGTTGTGGTATGTGGACCGTGACAAGTTGCGTCCACGAAGAGGCCAATATACCAATTGGATGTTTGCAAGTAGACCCTGAGGCCCAATATGTAGAAGTTCCAAGTGCATTTGTTCAAATATCATTTTCACAATTTTACCTTTTGGCGGAAGTACAACAGGGTGCCTTCTTTCTTCTGATGCTACAAGATAATCCAATCTACCACCAACACGTATGAGTCCAACAGTGTCAATGAATGGACCGAGCCTCTTCAGTGGGCTATTGGAACCTACAGAATTGGACTTTGTCAAGGAATTTAATTCAGATCTGAATGCATTGTGCTGGGCGTAACGTAGCCACACATTCCTAGCATTTTGCAATTCATTAACAGTGAGTACACCTGTTTGACAGTTAGGTGTTTGGTTCTTTCTTTCCTTTGCGTTGGATATGAAACGCAACATGTACGCTGTGAAACGTACCATATGGTTCCATTTAGAAAACTTGCTGAGCGGATAATCATCTACTGGCTGAGCAGATGCCTGAAGCACCAATTTAACAGGTCGTACTTCAGGAACCTCATTTAAAATTGGCTGTGTACATGTAGGCCATGAAGTGTGGTGCTTTGAAAGCCAGTGTGGACCACTCCACCACATTGAACAGTGTTGTAAATTATAAACTGTTTGTCCACGTGTTATAATATCAGCTGGATTACAATCTGTGGGCACATGATTCCATTGTGTTTTATCAGTGTGGTCTAAAATTTGAGCAATTCTATTTGATACATATGACTTAAGTGGCTGTGTACTATTTATCCAGGCGATGACAACCGTTGAATCTGACCACAGTACAACGTCACGTTGATGTAGGCTTATATTCAATTTTTTTAATTCAGAAATGACTTCTGTAGTTAAATCACTGAGTAGTACAGCACCACAGAGTACTAACCGGGGTATAGTGGTCGCATGAAGTGACGCTACCCTTGATTTTGAAACGTATAGAGCTGTTTCAAAATCTCCATTTGAATTCTGTGTTCTTGCGTAAACACATGCTCCGTACGCCTCCTGTGAGGCGTCACAAAATCCATGAAGCTGTATGTTTAACCAATTACTTGACAATGGCCGACGTGGAATGGCTAATTTATCCAACGCATACAAAGATAAATAGAAGTTTTTCCACCGATGTTGCATATCGTCGGGTAATGTCGTGTCTCAATCAAACTTCAACACCCATTACTGTTGAACAAAGATCTTTCCAGTTATAAGAACTGGTGTTAGGAAACCAAGTGGATCGTAAATCCTATTAATGTCAGAAAGCAATGTGCGCTTAGTCATTTTTTTGGGTGGATTCCATGGCTTTAATGTAAAGCAAAAACAATCTGTTACGGGTTGCCACATTATACCTAACGTGCTGACAGCATCCTGTTCACTAAATTGTAAAACATGATTAGGATTGGTCCCAGAATTTGGTAATTTACTCAGGACTTCGGAAGAACTTGTACACCATTTTCTTAACGGTAGACAACGAGACGCCAACGTGTCTGAAACATCTTTGTATAGCTGGAAACATTTGTCTGAAGATTCAGCACCAGTAAGTAGGTCGTCTACATAGAAATCATCTTTTATAGCTCTTTGAGCAGCTTCACTTGGAGCTGAAAAAGCTACTTCCACCAGGCTACGGGTCGCTAAATAGGGAGCTGATTTTGTACCGTACGTGATTGTGCGAAGGTTATATTCCCTTAACAGTTCAGAGGGACTTGGACGATACCAAATTCGTTGTAGTTGACAGTCTTTTGGAGTTACTAGTATTTGACGGTACATCTTCTCAACGTCTGCGGTTAATGCTATCTTATGTACTCTGAATCGTAACAGTATTGAGAAAAAGGAAGATTGCACTATAGGTCCCTTTAACATGACATCATTAAGGGATAGCCCGGAACTTGATGGAGCTGATCCATCGAACACAACTCTTAATTTTGTGGTGATGCTGTCTTCTTTGATGACAGCATGGTGAGGCAAATAATATGTTTGACTATTTGAATCATCATTAGTTACCAGTTTCATGTGGTTCATGTTTAAGTACTCTGACATAAACTTGTGGTAGGCTATGCATAGTTCTCTGTCTTTAGATAACCGTTTTTCCAAGTTAAAGAATCGTTGTTGCGTCATGTGTTTAGATTCACCAAGCGAACTGAGCTTGGTATTTAACGAGAGGCTAACAACTAATCGTCCTGAATCATCTCTGTAATGTGTCTTCTTAAAATGCTGTTCAGCTTCATCTTCTTCATCTTTACGAACACTTGATTTACTGATAAATAGTGAAAGCGCTGAGTTTATGGTTGCATCATTAGCACAAGTACAAGCAGAAAACCTAGACTGTATAACTTCGCTATTTAATACCCTTCCAGTAAGAACCCATCCAAGTGTGGTTTTGTGAAACACTAAACTATTTGTAATGGCAACTTTTTCTCCACTGAAAAGTGTGTAAAACATTTCTGCGCCAAGTAGTATATCTATCTTGCCTGGTGTATCATAGCTTGGATCTGCCAATTGTTCATTAACAATGTACGGAATCTTTGACTGATCTAAACGTATTAATCGAGATGGCATATCATTGGCGATTGAAGGAAGTACATGAAGGTCTAGTGAAACGTTGAAACTTTCAAACCTGGAATACATTACAACTGGTTGCAATCTCTGTGCATCTGACCTCATTGAGTTGATACCAACTATTGGTAGAACACATTTTGTTTTAGACATTCCAAGAAATTGGGCACAGGCGTCAGTTATAAAATTAACTTGTGATCCTGAGCCAGTAGTGCTCTACAGGGTTGAGGATAGCCAGCTGCATCATTAATGTATACCACGGCTGTGGCCAACATGACCATGTCACCTGACGCATGCATTGATTGTGCTATACCCTTACTAAAACATAGAGCACTTGTGCTTGCAATGGGCTCTGTTTCACTACTAGTTTGTTGATTTTCATGAGCTTAACCAAATGCAATTTTGAATTATGTTTTTGACCACATCTTGGACAACCTGGGAACCTGCAGTCTTGTGCTTGATGATTAGAGTATAGACAGTTGTAACATAACCGATTCTTTGAAACAAATTCTCAGCGATCTGGTACTTTCAAATCATTAAAACCTTTGCATTGATATAATCTATGAGTTTCATTGCAAAAGGGACATTTGTACAATGTGGTTACCTTGTTCGCAGGTTTAACAAAAAAAACCTTTTTGTCTTGAACTTTATAACTGGACTTGACCACATTCTGTTTAATACATGATGCACCAACGTTAACTTCACCTGCTTCATAGGCAGCAATACGGTTAAATAAAAATTCTTTTAATTCTTTGAACTCTGGTAGGTCTTTCTTGTTATATTTAACGTGCCATTCACCGACGGTTACTCTATCCATTCGGTTGCATATTAATGTGACTAACCAAGCGTCCCAGGTTTCGATCGGTTGACCTAAAGCCTGTAATGCATTTATATTTGAAGTAATGTGATGATAAAGTCTTTGCAACTCTATTACTGAAGCTATTGAAATTTTAGGAGTATCAAATAATGCTCTAATATGTGATTGAATAACTGCTCCTTTGCTTTCATATCTTGCTGTTACTGCATCATAGGCCTGCCCATAGTTCTCATTTGTAGTTGGTATAGATTTGACAATGTCACTAGCCTGCCCTTCTAAACAAGCCTTAAGAAAATGCAATTTATGAACCGGTGCCATATCTTTGTTGTTGTGGAAGTAAACATTGAACGAGTCTATGAATGATGTCCATTCTTTCCAATCACCACTAAACTTAGGGAGTTCAATAGGTGGTAATTTCATCATATTGTTGTTTACATGATTGGATGTGATGCTGTAGGATGGACTGGTCACTTCTGATTTTTTGGATTCTTCAGCTTCCAATATATGTAATAATGATGCCTTGACTTCATAAAATCTCTCTCTAAATTTTGCTCGTTCATCCATTACTACGTCATCTGACCTTTGATCAAGTTCTTCTTTTACTGACTGCACTTCTTCAAATTTTTCTGAAATACTTGGAAGCTCCTCTAAGCGTACTCTAACTTGGCTTTGATTGTTTGTTTCACTATTGAAGTTCTTGGCAAATGTGCCTATCGCCTTTAAACTGGAATGAATGAACTTCAACTCTAAAGTCGCCTTCTTGATATCCATGATTGTGGCCTAAATTACAATATTGGGAATGATGCACAGTGTGCTTATTTAACAATAAAAATATATAAAAAAATGATTATACAAATTAATGAAATTTATATTTTATACTGATTACTAATTCACTTAGCCTATCCGGTTCGAAGGACCAAAATGTTAACGCTTAAGGTGACCAAAATAATAATGAACAGCCTTGTCGTTTTATATAATATGTGGACTGTATATTACAATAAACTGTTAATTGCCCGTTTGGCACAATAATGATAATAATAATAATAATAATAATAATAGTACAAAATATAATTTCAGTTGCCTCTTTGGCTATAACAACTAATAATAATAATACATGATTTAACAAAGCCTGAATGGCTGTAATATACAATGAAATATATAATGTTTTAGGACCTGTCGGTCATACATACACATATTTGGTCGACCAATACTCACAAAACACAACAACGAACAATGACAACATGATGCCGCCGAGAAGAGACCGCTGAGTCCATGACACCACCGCCTCAACAAACACAACCACACGTTGATAATGTAACCACCCTAAAATGGGGACAAAAATTATTAGACAAAATTGTATCAGTGTGTATAGTTACCAGACGAATGAATGCCTGTATTGCGATACACAGATGTACTGTAACACACCTGGTTTGGGACGACTGCAAAAAGCTCATGCTCCAAAAATGATGAGACAACCAAAAAGCTTATGACGATGAGAGCATGACGGGAACAAAAAACCAACTTGAAGTTTTGAACATAACCAAAAAATATAACGAACATTGATAATTATTCCACAGCTGGCTGGTCACACACGAATGCCTGATAAGCATCCGCTGACGTAGGCTGCAGCTGTGTAACGCACCGACCCGCATACATGAAAATGACAACACAAACACACAACACAAATTTGTTTGCAGCGCAAACAGTAAATAATAATTGTTATATTATCATTGCTTAATATTTTTTTATTATTTGGTATCCAAACAAAAATAATACGCTCTATCATATAGTGACATAAGTTTTGAATAAAATCAATGTATTTATTTATTATTTATCAAAAAAAAAAATGTTATTTTTTGAACTGTTTAGTTAATTTTAGTTTAAAAAAAATGTTATTTATAATGTTAATAAAATGTTCTTTTAATTCTTGAGTACAAACAAAAACTTCATTTATAAATACATGTTCTGCAGTGGTTAATTTAATTGAAAGCATTGAACTAATTATGAACACTAATCACTATATTGATAATTATTAATATTCAAACATGGGTAAAATGTACTTTTTGATATTTAAAAAATGATACTTGCCTTAAAGAAATGTTGAATATTTATAATTAGGTATATTAAATTAAAAAAGAATTATTTTCAAAAGCATTATATACCTACCTACTTTTGGGAAATAGGTATATTCTAACAGCTAACAGTATTTCCAGTGGCGAAGCCAGGGGGGTTTTTGGGTGTTCTATTGACATTTTTGCCCCCAATAAATGTATTACTTATAAACGAAAACTGTACAAACTTGGTTTAATTCGGTACTGCCTAATTTACTGATTTACTGATTTACTGATTTACTGATTTGGGGCCATAGCGCCCGTAGCATGGGCAAACTAAGTCCGAATAAGTTCAAACTTCACAGGTGCCATTATAATACCCCCCTCCAACTCCCTACCAAATTCCAGGTTGCCCCGTCGATTTTCACTTCCGGGTTACTTGTCGCAGAAATATCACAAACTTAAAAACTTAACCAAAAATTATGAAATTTTTTACTCGGCATAAGTTGTACCGTATTTAAATATGGGGAAAATCTCAAGTGCCTACCTCGAAAACCCATGCAGTTATAAGACAAATCAGTAATTTATTCACATACATAATCGAATCAGTAAAATCACGCGCCGCCGTCCAGGAAAACTGCTGATTTGCTCTTACACTCGCAATACTTAACCAAAATTATGATATTTTTTGCACGGTACGTGTTGTACCGTATTTAAATATGGGGAAAATTTCAAGTGCCTACCTCGAAAACCCATGCAGTTATAAAACAAATCAGTAATTTATTCACATAATCAAATCAGTAAAATCACGCGCCGCCGTCCAGGAAAACTGCTGATTTACTCTAAAACCCGCAATAGTTTATAGAAAATAATGAAATTTTTTACACGGTATCGGTTGTACCGAATTTAAATACCTTGGAAATTTCAAGTGCCTACCTCGAAAACCCATGTAGTTATAAAACAAATCAGTAATTTATTCACATAATCGAATCAGTAAAATGACGCGCCACCGTCCAGGAAAACTGCTGATTTGCTCTTACACTCGCAATAGTTTATAAAAAATTATGAAATTTTTTACACGGTAGAGGTTGTACCGTATTTAAATACCTTGGAAATTTCAAGTGCCTACCTCGAAAACCCATGTAGTTATAAAACAAATCAGTAATTTATTCGCATAATCGAATCAGTAAAATGACGCGCCGCCGTCCAGGAAAACTGCTGATTTGCTCTAAAACCCGCAATACTTAACCAAAAATTATGAAATTTTTTACACGGTAGAGGTTGTACCGTATTTAAATACCTTGAAAATTTCAAGTGCCTACCTCGAAAACCCATGTAGTTATAAAACAAATCAGTAATTTATTCACATAATCGAATCAGTAAAATCACGCGTAGCAGTGCAGGAAAACTGCTGATTTGCTCTTACACTCGCAATAGTTTATAAAAAATTATGAAATTTTTTACACGGCATGAGTTGTACTGTATTTAAATACTATGGAAATTTCAAGTTCCTACCTCAAAAACCCATTCAGTTATAAATTATAATGCAGTTCAGTAATTTGTTGACATAAACAAATCAGTAAAATGATAAGAATCCTGTATGTTATGTTGCATTACAACATTTCTAGGGCACTTACTAAAATAATGCAATTTTTACACATTATAAGAATAATATATATTTTAATATTTAATATGATCATTATAACATAATAATATAGCACTAGACAATGACTTAGGATTTATCTACATCCCTAAAATTACAATTAAAATTAAAGGTTTGTCATTGGCTAAGGTTAGCTCTTCTTTGGATTTTTTTTTAATTTTGAATGTAGCATTGTACAACTAGTGCATATATTTTAAGTGCATTATTATGACAACTGGCTCATTTATTATATTGTTAAAATGTTTTTAGAGAATTGAATTATTTGGGAATTTGCCTTCATAATAATGTGTCTTAACATAATATAATAATAATAAATGGGCTGAGCAACTTGTTTTACAAAATATCAATAAATGAAAATCAGTTGTACCTTTTAGTACCTGTAGTGTTTTTACAGTGTTATAAGCGGCAATTTTGGCGCCCAAATTTGTATCTCTTGTGTTTGGAAATTAATTATGAGGGTTAGACATTTTTCTCAAATGTACTTCTTACAAAATAAGTCCCTACCTATACAATAGTTACTAAAATAAAGCAACGTATTGCACTTGAGTGTGACTTAGAATTCATCCATATAGATACCTGAAACAAAAAACTCATGCGGTTGTATGTACCTCATTTAAATCAG